AGAAGTGACAGATTTATTAGCAATTTCACAATTGCATTATTATCCAATGTTAGTACAAAATTGTTTGAAGTGGAGGGGGAAGGAAACTTGATTTATCATTAGCCATTTTCTCAGTATTAAAAATGAAATGGAGAAGGCCAGGTAATTTTGTAGTAGTGCCATGTAATAATGCAACTGGAAAACTGACTACTTACGGGAAAGAGAATTTTTTTTTTAAATTAAGTCATTAAAATATAATAATAGTTTGTGAGAGCACATTCTATTCTGATAGCAATACTAGGTGAATGGTATTCAGGATGAAGGGCGTCATTATAAGCAGTGATTATTGTGGGTATAGCTCTAATATTTCATTTTTCTTTTTAAAGGGTAAGGGCTTCCCTATGCCTTGCCCTTACTCTATTATTTGCAGATCCTTTCAGACAGTTGTGCTGAGGGTGCTACCATACCCTCTGGCTTGAAGTAGTAATAACAAACACCAAATACATGATTTCCATGGTTTCCATCATCAGCACCCCCTCTATAAAAATTGTTCCAGCACCCTTGCTTTCAGGGAGCATAATTATCCAGATTTCCAAAAGTGTTCAGTTTGTTGGGTAAATCCAACTGAACACAGTATGTACAGTGACCCTAATGTCCAGGAGACCTGTATATGGTTGCAAATTAATTAAAATAACACCCAAAGGAAGTATTAGAATCATAGGATGAGATTCCCTACCCTGCTCTGACCTCTTTACATCACAAAAAAATGGCTGCAATGAGAAAAAAAGGGGCCTAAAACCCCAGTTCCAGCTGTGAGAGGATTCCCCCAGAGAAGGAATTGCAGAAGACAACTGTTAGGCTGTCTTCTGAGGACACTTTCACGAACCTTGACAACAAGACAGAGGATAGAAGAGTCTTGTTAGGGTGGGGCCATAGCATTGTGGAGATTGTGAACGGCAATGTGGCCCATAGGATAGCACCTGGAGGCTCCCATAACTCAGACAGGCCCCTGGGCTGTTACACAAGGGGCTTCAGAGCTGGCCAGGCTCAGGAGGGCACAAAGAAGCCTCCTTAGCCCCCTTGCTGCCTGGTTGTGAGTTGTGTGGTGTAGCATAGGATCTCACCCATAATATTTAGAGATGGAAAAGAGCCATTATGTCGTCCAGCACACCACCTTGCCAATGCAGGATTGTTCCCTTACAGTAAATCATATTACGTCACCGTATTTTTAAAAGTCTAGTAGGATGACATATCCACAATTCCATAATCTATTAGCTCTTACTGTCAATATATTTCCTGCTTATATGCAGCTTACACTCTCCTTTTCTTAATTGAATCCAATGACTCGTTATACTTCTCTGCTCCATACTTAATCATTCCTCTCCATCCTTGGTGTTAACAACACTCTACTCCTATATGCAGACTCTTGTCTTGTTCCCTTGTATATATTGCTTAGGCAGGTTACATGCATTTAGATCTTTTCATCTTTGTCCTTAAATCAATTACTCTAGGTCTCTGATCACTTTTGTTGATCTTCTCTGAACTCCCCACTAATCTGTAAATAATTTTCTGATCATATAGTGCTGAGAATATAACTCAATATTACAGATTTACTGGATGGCAGTTGCTACAACTGCTTGTTTTTTTCCACTTTTTGGGGGTCGGGGCAAGGTGATGCTGGTTATGGATAAGGTTCTTTGGTTTGAGTTGTTTATTATAGTGAAAATAGTATGAGTCAGATTTTCAACTGGTGTAATTTTGCATAGTTTCATTGGAGTCAATAGAGTGATGTTGATTTTACGCTTGCTGAGTTTCTGGCTCATAACATTAGCTTTTTATCCAGTTCTCTTGTTCCTCCCCCTTTCACCAGAAATGTTCCAAAATAATTGACAATGAATTAATGTATTCATGAATTCCCACACTACTTCCCACCATACTGAAATGAATATCATTCAGACCTGCTGATTGATGCATTATCATTTTTCCACGTGTTTTCATACCAATTTTTTATTAACAATAATAGTGTCAATATGTTCATTTCTTCACAATTGCCCATCATTCTGTTCCATATTCTTCTCATTAAAGACAGGTTGTAAAAGCAGTTCAACGGGTTAACCATTCCTGAGACATTTGTTTTATATTTCTCTCCTTTATTAGCAGTCCTTCTTTCTCGCTGGTATTTCTTATTTTTCTTTCTATATTTGCAAAACTCCTTCTTATTCCTCTTATTCCGTTTAGTTTTCATCATTTCATGCTACTCTTCTGCTGCCTTAATCTTTATCCTAGTAGTCATTAAGTGATTCTGTGTATTATTATTTGGTTCCCCTCCCTTGTTCATTTCCAGTGCAAGTCACTTTTTATCATGAGTTTTTTGAGCAATCTCTGTGGAAAACACATTGCCTGCTGCCTGCTTTTTTATCTCTTGAGGAATTGTAGTCTGTTGTATTTTAATTATTGTCTTTTTTTTATGATGCACTATGTTTTCATGCTCATGGATTGTAAATATATAATTCCAGCACACAGTATTCACTCCTTTTTATTAATACTTCCACATTTGCTTCCTTCAAATCTAATGTGCTTATATACCTGTGTATTATTGCTCACTATGTTGAATTCAGGTAGTTCATAGTCACTAACATATCAAATTTCCGTACTGAACCTTCCTTTGTAATCTGTTTTTCCATATTGGAAAGAAGTAGTTGCCGGATGACTGCTCTAGCTGGAGCTCAAGGAATGTCTAATATTTATGATCATTTGTATATTTATGATGCCATAACATTTTGTGTGTATAGATATATTACCAAAGCGCTTTGTTATGCTCACAGCAAACAAACAGAGACATTTGATAAAACCAAAAAATACTCTTGCTGGAAGGAACACTACTTTATTCCTTAGAATTCAATATGGTAACATACAATCACTCCAAAACAGAAGGAGACAAAGCAGGCTGCTTTCTAAAACAGAGAGGCACAACTCAACCTTACTCAAGGCTGTCAGTCCACTGACTGATTGCGGCTAGGCCCAGCTTACATGCTTCCCTACAGAGCACTTAGTGTGGAAACCGGACAAGTAAAAATCCCCGTTCTTAAAGTGATAGTTGAAAGCATGAAAGAGGGTCAATTTATGAATTTGCCAGGGTGCAATTTTTTTTTATGTTTTTTTTTTTAAATTCAGATTTTTAAATCTGAAATCAAACTAACTTGGTTTGACATTTGAATAAGTGTTAATAGTGTAACCCCTGTTTTTTAAGTCCTGGGAGTATTAGCTTACTAGTTTTAACATTGGGTTCTTATCAGGTCAGCTTTTAACTTGAACAGTATTTTTCTTATAGGGACACTTGCTTATTCTTAACCAACCAACAATGTATTAATTCACCCAGCACCACATTAGTATACAATCTACAGTTCACCACTCAGGTGTAGACACAACCAATGTTCTAGGTGTGAACACACACAGTACAGTCTTGTAAGTAATTGTCACAGACTAAAGTTGAGGTTCATCAGTTATATCAAGGAGCAAAGGAACAATGCAAATTACCAAGACTTCTTATTACATTTACTTGTGATCATAAATTCTTAATTTCTGACATATATATGACATCTCGAAGGATGCGCTTGTCTTTAAGGCACTGAGTATGGTTACTACCCTTTGATTGGATTGGTCCAAAAAAGAAAAGTTTAGCATATTAAAAGCAATTGCTTGAAGTTATTGTTTTCAATCCATTTTAGGCTACTCTGCTTGGACTTATCATGGAATTAAGTTATAAAATATGGTTATTTAATGCCAAGTGGATGCTCAGATTTTTAGCTCTTAGTTTCTCTGCTGCTTCCACTGGTATTCAGTAGAGAACACTGGTGTATAACAAATTTATGTAATCCTTTTCTCATCAGAGGCTTTTTAAGTTTGATTCATTTCAAGGATTGTTTCATTAATATTTCATTAATAGCACCCACTCTTAATTGGGATCCCCGCTTTTAAGCAATTTATCTTAATGTTTCAGTTATACTCTGTTTTATATCTTCCAACATGCCTTCGTCATTGTGTCAGATAATTTCTATTACTTCTAAAGTCAACAACTATTTACAATGAAAACCAACAAAATCCCTTATAATCTTCTAATTTTGAAGGACATACTCCAGATATTCTTTGATCGTACATAAGCATTTCACATTATTTATAGAATGATGTAGCTCTGACTCACAAGGCAAGCAAATGTGCAGCTCCTAATTTGGGGTGAAAGACAGATTATGCATGGTATATTTGATTTACAAGGAAACCAATGTATAGTTTATAATTTGGGGTGAAAACACGTGTCTTGGATTTCTTGGGGTAACTGTTTACCCAATTTGATCTTCCATCTTACAGCCAATCATATCTAATTTGCTTAATTTGAAGCTTCCCCACCCATCTTTTAATCCACTCAATGTGCAATGAGCCACTTTGCATAGGAAGTCAATATGTTACTCTTACTTGGTAACTTAGATTTCTTTTTAGATAAGTTGGGAGGGAGAAAGAGGTTTTATCCATATGGAAATTATGAAAGATTCTTGTCTAGGTGATTAACAGTACTCTCATTTGGCCATTTTAGTTTCTATTCTTGGGGAGAGGAACTCCCAACTTTGGCTGATCTGTAGGTCCTTAGAGAAAGTGTCTCACATGATATGAACCAATTTGTTATTTTCTTTATTTCTTAGGTGGATCCTATTTTGGGATAAACAGAGGTTGATAGCTTTTCTAATTTTTGAGGGCCAGAAGGAATCAGTAGTTATTAATCATCCAAGGCATATCTGTGCTATATATCCCTTACATAGCTTGAAATTCCTACACCGTTCTCAATATACCACACACTCAAAGGGCCAAATCAGCACAGGGGAATTATTGTGTTAAGTTGTACCAACACACATGAAGACACATCCCTGCCCCTAAATGGTCACAATTTACTTTTACAAATTGTTAACACAGTATAGACAGTGATTTATATAAATATGATAATAAATAAATACATATTTTTTCCCTTACAGAGTTACAGAGTAGTTCTTGTGGCAATCCAGGAGTTCCACCAAAGGGTATCTTGTCTGGTACGAAATTTGATGTTGGTGATAAAATCCGCTACAGCTGTGTAACTGGATACATTTTGGATGGCCACCCTCAGCTTACCTGCATAGCTAACTCAGTGAACACAGCATCATGGGATTTCCCAGTTCCTATCTGCAGAGGTAAGGAATGCTATGATAATCTTTCTTTAAGTATTTAATGTACATTTATGAGTTGAAGCAACTTACTTTTTCTCTAAAATAAATTTAATAATTTATTTATCAGCTTTACTGTATGCACCTCCTAATTGTTCTGCCAATCCTGTTTTTAAAACCTAGTTCTCCCCCCTTTTACAATAGATGAAAATGATAGAATTCTGAACTAGATACTTAGTGTTAGATTATGAATATGACTGATGTGGCCACACAGGGAAATAACCAAAAGAATTTAGGAGTGGGGTGGGGCTCTAAACATTGCTATTTCCCTCTGTGGGTATGAGATGGGAAGTCGGACAGCATTGCTGAGCATGAGGAGGAAGTAAACCACACCCTACAAAAGGATTCAGTAATTTACTTTCCTCTTGAAGTAAGGGGAAGATGGAAGAAATTATGACCATGACCATATACTTATGCACGGTGAATGCTGAACATTACATGGGTGGTTAGTTATAAAGTTTCAGTCTAGTTTCTATTATACAAATTCCACTTCACATTTGGAAAACTGTCACCAATTGCAAAGTACAGTTAGGAGAATAATTTTCCAAAATATTTCGATATTGGAATAAATTATGTCATAACTACAACAAATAATGTACCATCATATGACAGGACTGCACATTTCCTGAAGAAACTATTGACCTTTTTATTTATTTATTTTCATTGGTACATTATACTTACACTGACTGAGAATCATCATTTCTTCAGATCTGCTTCATGGAACATTTGGTCACAGTCTTTTGAAGATATCTGTGCTTCAAGGGTCCAATGCTGCACCTAATAAAGTTAATGGGAGTCTTACCATTAACTTCAGTGGGAGCAATTTATCACACCAGTTATCAACTAGCTACATCTACTAAATGAAGTTCAAAGGCAGAAAACGGAAAAAAAAAAATTTCTGTCAGCTTACGTCTGTTAATTTTACTCATACAAATGGATCCATTGCTGACAGAAGTGAAGCAAGCCTTTGTTCTTAGCTATTTTGTTTCAGCATGAGAAATACTTTATGTAGATTTCAATCTGAGGGACATATGCTGAAGGTCTCATACTACCACCAGTTAACATCATTGGAGCTCCTAAAAATACAGATAACTTTCTAGCACAAAGTGTATTGCATCCATCTCAGAGTAATACTATATTAGACCTCATTCTGGTGGATAAAGATAAATTGATCACAGGCCTAAGAATATATGGCTTCCCAGGTGCAGGGAATTATGACTTAATTTAATTTATGTGCAAACAGAATATAAAGGCAGTCAGTAATTTATTGCTTTAAAAAGGCCCATTCCTAAAGCTGAAAACAATCAAGAGAAAAATTGAGTAGGAAGAAAAAAGCCAAAGTCATGCCAAAATTTCACAGGGTAAATGGGATGACCCAGGTAAACTATAAACTGGTTAGTTTAACACCAGTCCCAGACTAATCATGGAACAGGTGATATGGGACACAGTCATTAAAGAACAAATAGTAATAATTGATATAATTCCAATTAAAATGGTTTTATGGAAAATAGGTGTTGTGAGACAAATTTGATATTGTTTTATGATGAGATCACAACTTAAGTTGATAAAGGTAACTTTGGTGACATAATATACTCCGACTTCTTTAAGGCATTTGATTCAGTCTCTTTGACATTCTGATAAATAAATTGACACTATATAAAATAATGGAGCTGATATTAAATGGATTAAAAACTGGTATCTGATAGGTCACAAAAAGTATTTGTGAATGGGGAATTGTCATCCAATTGAGTGTTTCTAGTGGGGTCCTGATCTCGGCCCAAAGCTATTAAATATCTTTATCAGTGATCTAGAAATAATAAAAAAAACATACTGGTAAAATTTGCGCATGACATAAAAGCTGATGGAGTGATAAATAGTGATGAGGAGAGGTCACTTTTATGGGCCAACATGGACCACTTGGGAGGTGGTCTCATTTGTAGATCTGGTTAGAACATTTTTGCTGAAGCTGAAATGTTTCATGGAAACATATCGGTTTCCACAAAACTTTCATCAGGAAGGTTTTTAATACAGTGAGATAATCTGTACCTAAATGGTTGGGATGCTGGCCTGGGATGTGAAGATCCACATTCAAGCCCCTGGTTTATCTGATTTGGCATGATCTGTGATGAAAAATTCCTCCGAGTCAGGCAGAGCAGGGATTTGAACCTGGAGTTTTTACATCCCAGGCCAATACCCAAACTAGCAGCCCCTATGCATGCCTTAATAAAATTCTGTTTTAATTTAAATGTTCAAAAAATGCTTTTTTTGTTCAACAAATTTTGAAACTTCAAAAGTTGCTGCAAAATGCAGTTGTCATCCTCTAGGCAGCTATACTTATTTGAACAAAATGTGTTTTAACAAATGCCAGGACAAACATCTAGAAAAAAGTAATGTAGGTCACACTAACACAATTGGGGCTCTATTCTGGAATGCGGTGACACTAAAAACGGTTTAGGGGTTATAGCAGATAATCAGTTGATCATGAGATCCCCGTGCAACACTGTCACTAAAACCACAAATATAATCCTCAAATGTGTAAGCAGGAGAATATCAAGTAGGAAAAAGGTGATGGTAGTACCTCTATATATACCATTGGTGAGACTACTGGAATTCTGTGTCCAATACTGGTGTCCCAACTTCAAAAAAAAAAATTCAGGCTAGAAAAAGTGCTCACATTTTTAATAGTGAAGATAATTAACCACTGAAACAACTTAACATGGGGTGTGATGGATTCTCTGTCACTGTAAGTCTTTAAATCAAGACTGTATGTCTCTCTAAAAGATATCCTATAGCTCAAATAGAAGTCATGGGCTTAATGCAGAGATTATTGGGTGAGGTTCTTTGGCCTGGATTGTGCAAGAGGTCAGACTAGGTGATCACAATGGTTCCTTCTTGTCTTAAAATATATGAATCTGTGTTCCATATGACAAATACCTAGGCTTATATTTGTCAGACTTTGGTACTTCTCTTTTAACAGGTTCCTCACCACTTTGTAAAATGCTTTAATTACCCAGTATATAACTTTGCGGGAATTTGCTAAGAGTGATTACCCTCTAATGAGCTTCCCGTTGCTTTCCCTCCATTTCTGGTGGAGACTTTCCTTGATTAAATCCTCATCCTTAGGGAGTTTCACTGATAAGTGTCTTATCACTCTCTACCAATGGCCTTTACATTAAGAAGAGCAGCCTTGTTAGTCTGTATCCGCAAAAAGAACAGGAGTACTTGTGGCACCTTAGAGACTAACAAATTTATTAGAGCATAAGCTTTCGTGGGCT